GCACTGAGAATAAAATTTTATATAAAAGTGCATTCCAGAAGTTTTGAGAGCTTTTTTTTTTTTTTTAGGAGAGGTAGTTTAACAGTTCAAGATTATTGTAATTTTGGTCTATCATTACAAATTGGGGATACTAAAATCAAACAAGTACAGAAATTTAAATAGCTGAGGATGCAGTATATTATAAACCCTTTAATGACTGGTGTATATCATATATAAAGGTGCAAAGTATGTCAATAGCCCTATAATGCCTATTCTATCATATAGGAGTACATAAAAACAAGAAAAGTTTAATCACTGACTATTGTAAAACAGTCTTCATTTTTTATGGTACAGGTATACTATTTATATATACATGTACGTCTTTCATGTCACACCTTCAGTTATGAGATAGTGCAAAATTAGTAATACTCTTAATTACAGAATTTCTTTTAATTAAAAATATTTACCAAATTTAAAATGAACTTTTCCGGTAGTCTTTATTGGATTATGTAAATAGTATAGATACAAGATAACTGCATTCTAGAAGTTTTGAGACATTTTTTTTTTAGGAGAGGCAGTTATAACTGTCCTAAATTATTGTACCTTTAAGATATCATTATTATACATCTAATAAGCTGACCTGCTAAATTTTGTTATTCTAGATTGAAGGAGATGGCTGTAACAGCTCTTTGAACACACCCTACTAAAAACTGTTTTTCACAGCTGACTAGTTTGTAGAATGCAGTCAGGACGTGAAGACAATTTGGAATCTCGTTATGCAATAAGATTTTATGTTAAAATTGGCAAAAACACTACAGAAACTTATTAAATGCTCTAGACTGCTTATGGATTAACTTGTCTGGGTCGAGCATCTGTATTTGGTTGGCACAAGAGGTTCAAAGAGGCTAGAGAGAAGGTGAGAAACGATGAAGGAGGGAATGTCAAAACATCAGAGCTGGATAAAAAAACTGTTGTGTGTTGATAAAGACAATAAGTCTAAGTTTATATAAAGAAAGACAATACAGTTTGGAGTTGGTTTGATAACAGTACACAGAATCCATGAAGATCTTAACTTTCTTCCCAGGGTGCTCAGTGACGAACAGAAGAAAAGACACGTTTGTTGTGGTAGGGAGATGGTTGATGAGCATCAAAACGGCCCTTCACCCTCCCTACAGTTCATAACTTGTTCCCTGTGACTTTTGGTTGTTCCACAAGCTGAAGGTGGATCTCATTATATATTGTTTTGAAGACATTATAAAGATGAAGGAAGCTGTGACAAGCATCCTGGACATCTTCATTTTGTATGATTTCCATGAAGGGCTCTTTACGAAGTGGCTGGAGCATTACAAATGCATTGAAGTCAGAGAATCCTACTGTGAAGTCGACTAGAGTTTTGTATTTCTTTGAAATTAATAAATGTCTCTCCTGAAAAAGTCTCAAAACTTCTGGAATGCACCTCCTAAGTCCACATTGATCATCATAAACCTGCCTACATCAACCAAGCATTGGATTGACCTTTACAAATAGAGATCTCAGTTGCAACAAGCAAGCCATACTCATGAAACACATAGTAAAATCAAATAAATCTGACACAAAAATACATTGGCCTGCATGTTTTAAAACTTCTTTGCAGCAAGAGAACTAGAAATCCTACCAAGATTTATTACCGGTTGGTATAATTTTAACAATGTAAGGTATGCAGCTGATAACATGCTGATGCCATTTACAGAAAGAAAACTGCAGGGTTTTCTAGACAAGATAGTAAAGGAAAGCAAGAAGAAAGGACTAACCACCAACTGTAAGAAGACAGAATGTAAGGTCATTAGGAAGAGGGACAGTCAAAGATGATAGGAATTGGAAACATCAGAACAAAGCAAGGACACAAAGTTACCTGTCTGGGAAATATTTAAACAAATACTGGAAGATGAAACTTAGAAACTTGATACTTTGGAATAGTGAAAGATGCCTTCTAAAAGTTAAGCAAAGTATTAAAAAAATGGGAAAATTTAATTAGGAAAAAAAAAGATCAATCCTCCTATTACAGTGAAGCCTGGACAATTTCTTCACAGATGAAGAGGAAAATTGAGGTAACAGATGTGGTCCTAAAGTGGAATTCTGAGAATAACATGGGCGATGCATATGAGTAACAAGGAAGTTTTAAGAAAAATAAGAAGAAAAAAGCAGTTGTACTTAAGAAACTGTTGAAATTTCTGGGACACATAATGAGGAAAGAGGGTTTGGCAAATTTGACACTCACAGTATATGTTGAAGGTAAGAGATGCAGAAGGAGAAACTGAGTAATCTAGCTAAAGAGCCTGTGTAGAAGGATGGCAAAACAGGATTGAAAAGGACAGTAAAGGGACAAAGTTTGCCTCGAGTGACAGCCTAACCCCAACTTTCCATATCTTTTGGTTTTGTACATCTTCAATCAATTTCTCTTGACGAGTCACCAAATGGCAGATTTTTAAATTCATAAATTGTGAATGAATGTTTCACAATATAAAATGTTGTACAACAAAGAATTTATCAAAGTGAACTTTAATCACAACTTACATAGTTTAGCCAAAATTCGTTCATTTAATGACAGACTTTATTATTTTTTTTGATATCTACAGAAAGAAAATATATGAATTGATTCAAGTCAAAACATATCAAAATAAGAAGATTTTATAACAAAACATTTTAATAACATTTTTTTGTCATCAATTTTTAATTTTAACTAGAAAATTTTATAAACTTTTACAATTCTGCATTAATTTGTAGTAACCAAGTAATATTGTTATTAATTTATAGTAACCAAGTAATATTGTTATTAAATTAAAATTGTGTTTACTAATCATACATTGAAGATTTCATTAGAATTCAATGACACCATATATATATATATGTGTGTGTGTGTGTTTGCGTGTTTTTGTGCGTCTTTGTGTGTGTGTGTGTTGCTTTTTGTAAATACAGATGTCCATACATGACATCATCAGAAAATAAAAGTTACCTATAAAAAATTTAAAATGTATTGGTAATTTTCTAACATTTTCTCAACAAGAGTCTTTGTAAGTAAGGCTAAAGTACCTAAATATCAATGTAACTAAAATTCAAAATATTAAATTGCTTAAAATATGTTCTTAAATTTTTAAGATTACTGGATAGTTAAAATGTATATAGAAAAAGCATTCATGTTGTAGTCATCAAGTTGTCAATAAATTACTCAACACACCAGAAAAAAAAATCCCTTAAGTTTTGTATTAAAAGAAATGCTATTCTGCTGAATTGAAAAAAATATTACTTAATTTTAATTTAAAATATTAAAATTAAGTAATATTTGTTTCAATTCAGATTAATTAAACATTATGTTGACTAATTTTCCTCAAAAAACATTTCCGAAAAGTATATTTTATTTTTGAAAGAAAAACATGGAATTAACTTTTTTGGCAAATATGTTAATATGAATGAATTTATAAATCTTACTGATATAAGGGGGGAAAAAATTCCAATCAAGTTAAATTCTGTTTGAAATCTATCAAAGTATTTTGCTTATTGGGAATATTAAATTTAATCTATTAGCTTGAAATTAAAACCAAAATTCAAGAAAGATTTTTTTTTTTTCATTTTTTAAAATGCATTAAGTATTATTAATGCATTAAGGTCTAAAGATTTGTATTACAGTTGGCAAAGGTATTTCTATGAATAACTGCTTCTTGTATTGCCTTGCTGCATTGGTTCAGGTTTTAAAGTCACCTAAACACTGCCAATATTCCTTTGAAATGTGGCTGTTAGATGAATAGTATCAACAAACAGACCGACTTTATTGCTGTTGTTAATATAACCTACCCAAAAATGAAAAGGGAAATATGCTTAAAACTCTTTAACTTGCCCACACCAATGTTGAATAATTTTTTAATCATGATTTACTTTACACAGCCTAAAGTAAACTTACAGCAATTTTTTTTTAAATAAACTAGTATAGCTATCTTTTGTTTATTAATAAAAATATAGTTTTAGAAATACCACGATTTTACTATTTATTGCAAAACCAAATTAGTGCATATTTCAAAACAAGTGTACTAAAAAAAACAAAAAAAAAAACAGATTTTTATAACCAGTGTAATAACCAATGTTGAGGGGCCCTAGACTGCAGCCCCTCCTATATGGCAGTGAATGGTGGAGAATCTCCTTACAAATGAAAAAGAGGCTTGAAGGAACAAATGTGATTCTACAGAAGGATGCTGAGAATACCATGGACCAAACATGTGAGCACTGACGAAGTTTGGGAGAAAATGGAAACAAAAAGGTCACTTATACTTAACATCGGGAAGAGGCAGTTGAAATTTTTAGTGAACATAATGAGGAAAGAGGTCTTGGAAAATTTGATAGTCACAGGACATTGAAGGCAAGAGGAACAGAGGAAAACACTGCAGCATAACATATCTAGTGAGCTTGAATAAATGGATGGCGGAACAAAGTTTAAGAGAAATAACAAAAAAACAAAATTTAAGAGCTATAAAGGACAGGAAATTGTGGAGAGCCATGATCGCCTACATAGAAGAGTGTTATTATTTTTATAAAACATTAAAAAAAAAAACGATTAAAATGCAAGTTAGTTTTTTTTTTTCAATTTATTCCCAAATGGCAAAAAGCTATTTTATTCAATCAAATTGTATTGTATCTTTTCGCACTTAAAAAAAATTCAAATTCGTTTCGGTAGGAAATTGAACTAAATAATTTTATTTTCAAGTTAACAAGAAAAGAAAAGGTATAAATATTGATTAATTCTTTTCATTCATTCATCATGTTTAAGAGGGAGCAATTGGACAAATTAACATTTTTTATAAATGAGCGACGAAATAATTTCTGATTAAAAAAAGCAAAGAAAAACAGTACTTGTTTTTTTTTTAAAAAAAAAACAGATCGAATGGCAGGTTTATGTGTTCAATATTGTTTTTTTTTCAAGCGGGTCACATAATACGTCAGTGAGATTAAATAAATATTTAGTAAAACAAATTCGTAATTAGTATATTTCTCACCAATGTCGTAAATTTCGTATCTGTCAGAGTTTTTCCGGAACCTACGTGAGGACTCCGAACACTTCATCGGATCCACTTTCTGTCCTCAATGTCGCTAAATTGTCGGTGTCGGTGTAACGTTTATACTTGTTCCGTCTTTACTGTCGCCCGCTTCTTAGATTCATCTTGTTTTTGTTGGGTTTTAAAATTCCACAACAAAATCAAATCATGCCAAACCAAAATCGTTTAATGTTAATGACAGAAACCGGTAAAACGGTTCAACATCGATAACAAAGTATTAATTGGGTTAGTACACCAAATAATGAATTGAGAGATTCTTCTCTAGTTATTGCGAGGCTTCGACTAGTCCAGCACGCGATCATCGGGTCACTTTGTGAGAGCTGAATTCATTACTAACAATAGCCGGCAAGATTAACTTCTTAAGTGTTAAAAATATTATTCTAGCAAGATATATGAACTGTACACAAGATATTTTTGTGGCTGCTAGATTGGCTCACTCGTAAAAAATAGGGAATTTAAAAAAAAAAATAATTTTGTACAATTTCTTTCTCTGTCCACAACACTTATCAGAATCGGAAAATATTGATTTTTATCAATGGGGTCGTCGTTGAGATCCTCTCCCCCACTCTCATGCTCACCACCAGTGCCGCACAGACTTGTATAAGCCCTCTTTTGTGCATCATCTACGCTTATCCATCCCATAATGCAACCATTTAAGTTTGCAGACGATACTATTGTGGTTGGACTTGTTTCAGCGGCTAATAAGACGGACGGAAGGAGTGAAATAAAAAGATTGAATGCATGGAGAGCGGAAAAAACCTTGCTTTAAACACCTTGATAAAGGAACTGGTGGACTTTCAGAAAATATCACAGCACCTGTCCCTTTGGTTATCGGCAGGGTTTATTTGAAGAGGACTTCTTGGACTAGCCATACCATAGCAATACCATCGCATTAATCAAGAAAGCGCTGCAGTGAAAATTCTCAGAAAAAAATAATTTACAAAGGCAGCATCTGATGAAGAACGCAAGAAAAACAATAAACAAAAGATCGACTGGGTTGACGATGACAAGAGTGATGAAGATAACAGTGTGGAATCTTCCACAACAAGCCAATTAACCCTGCTAGGAAATGCACTATTCCTGTTGTAATTTTCACCATCACAATCTTACAAAATATATAACAAGCATTCATTGTTTAATCACCTTCAATCTAGCTTGCTGATTGGTCAGTTCCGACCAATCAAACCGCCTGAACGCGACAAATCTGTTTTCCCGCTCAATATGCTCGGAGCCTCCCACGTGATACACGACCTTATAAAAACAGAACACGTGTAAGCTCCCTGTTGTTTCTTTTCATTCATCTCTCTCTCGCGTCTCATTCCTTGCTGCCAAGATGTAATCTTCAAGAACTCTCGTCTTAGCCTTTGCGTTCAGACGTTAAAGACCATTACCAACATTCACGCAAGTACGAACTCTGAAATCTCTTCTGAACTTTTACGAACTTGTACAATACACAATTCCAAACATGCTAAAGAAACTTTATTCTTCTAAACTACAGTTTAATAATTACTTTCACTTTATGAACTTAGGTACAAATATTACCTAATCTAAGAGACACAACTCTGTTTAAACTTTTTACTCAGTATTCATGCATGTATATCAAATACTTAATAAATTCAATTGTTACTTTTTGAAACAAGATGATTATGAATCATTATTCTCTGTCTTGTATTAATTGTTGTGGATGGAAGATTATTGAACACACACAATTTTAAACCTTCTGATAATTCAAACTTTCTATTCCTCTCCAACACACATCACAGATTCTGAACACAAGAAAAACAATAAACAAAAGATCGACTGGGTTGATGATGACAAGAGTGATGAAGATAACAGATTAGACATAGAAACGAACGTTCCCAGCGGCGACATCTTCATCTTCGTTTTGATACATCTTTGAAGAAGAGGAAGAGAAAAGAAATGTTTGTCTTTATATAGAAAAACAGTGCACCAACTAACGGGCGTTTGGTAAAACCAAGTTGGGTAACCCACGTCCCCACTAAGGAGAGACCGACAGATATTCACAGAAAATATTGAAAACAACTACCCTAAACCAGATGCGCTGTAAGCTACAAACACCACATTAGTATCATTAAGAGGAACGGAAATTAAACAGCTCAGGAAAACCAAAATACAAGGAAAACGCATTATATGTAATTGGCTCGGAAGAACCTGAAATTCTCGGGTTGAACGGCTGAGAAAAACTTGAGCTTATATCAATGAACTATGCTATATATACATACATACATATATATATATATATATATATATATATATATATATATATATATATATATATATATAGTTGATTGATTTGAGTTTCAGACTTGGGTTTCACGCCCTTGCGATCGTCTGCCAAACTTTGTCTGACGATCGCAACGGCGTGAAACACAGGGTCACAAACTCAGATCAAAGCAACTAAATATGTTACCTCTATCACTGATATTGTGCGCTTTCCAATAAGTACCGCGCATATATGATATATAAATAATATATATAAAAATGACACACACATATATATATATATATATATATATATATATATATATATATATATATATATATATTATATATATATATATTTATTTATATACATACTTAATACACACACACATATATATATAAACACAAAACACACACACACACACAGAAATACATTTTATCTGTCGTTGAAGGCATACAATTCCGTTCAAAATATATTTACTTGAAGCCATAAAATTGTGTTTAAAATATTTAGATTTCAGCATTGAATAACCCATAGAGGTGTTGATATGTCGCCAAACAAAATCAACCAACCAAACAAATAACTCTTTCATGACATAATCCATACAATATCTTATCATTTCTTAAAGAAATCAAACTGTATTCCAAAATATAACTTCAACAATACTACAACATAAAACACACATATCACCGCCTCTAGTAATTATGTCCACACACATACATGTATATGCAGAAAAGTTGAATATCATCTACCATGGATTCAATTGTGAAAGCAGAATATCATATTTCTATTCCTTCAAAGCTCACAAGAAAATTAAATTTCAGCATTAAACCCGTGAGGAGTTAATATGCCGTTAAACAAACAAATCAAATGAACTTCACACGAACATACAAACCAAGAAGTCATGGTGCTAACCAATGCTTTGTCACGCTTATCTACAAATGGCAAATTTGAAATGAAAATAAAAAACAAAAAATATGTCCCAAAATACAGCACCTTGTTAGTTTGACAAACAACAAACTAGAAGAGATTAAAGACCAGGCCAATAAAGACCATGAGCTTTAGATGCTGTCGCAGCAGGATGACCAGATAAAACGTCACCGGATGTGACCGTCGATACGCCAGTACTTGTCTATTAGAGACAACATCTCATCCGAGAATGATGTTTTGCTAACAGCATCACGCCTATTAATACTCAAAACATTACAACCAGAAATCCTTCAGTAAACCTCTCAAGGCATCATGGGAAGGAAAAAAGCAAACAGTACAAAATCTGCGGTGTACTGGACAGGTATATACAAAAGGATTGACTAGATAGTTTCAGAAATTCACATATGCCAAAAATATAAAAAATTACAATTAAAAGAAGACACGATATCCTCTGAAACACCAAGCAGATCATAGCACACAGTAGGAGCAGACAGTTTTGTTGTAAATCAAAAATGGCATCTGTTGTATTCATATGCAAATATTCACTTTATAAATAGCAGATGATACAGATGGAGACTAAACAAATCCTATTTCTAATTGTGGTCTGTTACTATTTCAAGTTTCTGTTTGTCCTGAAATTTCGAAACCTGAGAGCTGAAACCATCTGCCCAGAAATCCAAATAATACTTGCAGAAAAAAGGATTTTGGAAAATCTTATATATGACAACTGTACCCATTTCATATCACGCAAATTCAGTGAACTAGGCCAAAGCTATGGATTCACAATCACAACATTATTCCCACGTTGCCCCAAAGTCTCTGGAATCATTTAGAGATATGTAGAAATAATAAAGAAAACTCTCATCAAATGCCAAGAAACAAGGGATAACCCATGACTCGCATTACTCACATTAAGAACAACAGCAATCAAAACAGACATGATGTTTCCAGCGGAGAAGCTAAATGCAGGGATATATATATATATATATATATATATATATATATATATATATATATATATATATATATAACAACCTTGCTAAACAAAATCAATCCTCCACCTCATCAAGCGGAAACCAAAAACAAACTGGCTGATGACCAGAGAGAAAGGAAACGATATAGTGAGACACACATACACCGCCGCCACCAACACTACCACCAACAGAACTATACAAAAGCACAACATGTGCAAACAGTGGGAGGTGCGCCCCGGGCGGTACTTTTGTTTCTGCTGTAGGTTATAAGCCTATATAAGCTGTATTGAAATAAAAGTGGCTTTAATGTCAGGACAGTACACACCGCTGAAGGATTTTTTTTTCGATTTCGAGTAACTTAAACTATGGCATATTGGCTTATCTACTGTCTATATAACTGACAAATGAAACATTTTTTGACGATGTCATCGAAGAATTTGCCAACAAAAAAAGCAAGAAAAGTTACTTTGTAGAAAGTTGTAATTTTTTTTCCCTATATGTCATTTCTGATTTTTAACTATTACTGATAAAGTTTAAGTATGTTTGGGAGGCACAATGGAGTAATAGATAGCGGCTCGGATTGAAGAATCGGAGAGCCGAGTTCGAATTTCAGTCGAATCCATTATATTCACTTACGTGGTAATACCCTTAGGAAAGGTATGAAACCTCTTCTTTTCCATCCAGCTATGGGTAAAGTAGCAGGACAGACTGGGTTTTATAGCCTTGGATGACAACTGGTCTACCACAGAAAGAAATGACAACTTACTGAGGGAAAAAATATCTGCCTCGTCAGTCATGTATCGAAATATACATGATCGCCTAAGTGTGTATCTGAGTGACTGACTAATGTTTGGTGTGTATTTAAAACATACTATATTT